AGCGCGCCGCCCCGCCGCCGGGCGCCGCGATGTCCAGCGAGGAGAGCTACCGGGCCATCCTGCGGTACCTGACGAACGAGCGCGAGCCCTACGCGCCCGGCACCGAGGGCAACGTCAAGCGCAAGATCCGCAAGGCGGCCGCCTGCTACGTGGTGCGCGGCGGCACGCTGTACTACCAGCGGCGGCAGCGGCACCGCAAGACCTTCGCCGAGCTGGAGGTGGTGCTGCAGCCCGAGCGGCGCCGCGGCCTGATCGAGGCGGCGCACCTGGGCCCGGGCGGCACGCACCACACGCGGCACCAGACCTGGCACGACCTGTCCAAGACGTACTGGTGGCGCGGTGAGCCGGGCCGGGCCCGAGCGCCCGCGGCGGGGGCGGGGGCGGCGCGCGGTGACGCGCCGAAGGTCGGGCTGGGGGCTTTGACGCGGGGTCTCGCCGTGCCGTCTGGCTGGCCTGGGGCTTGCGCAGGTGGCCCGCGCTGGCCGCGACCTCTCGGCGGTCCTCCCGCCTCAGCCTCCCCTTGCTGGGATTGCAGGTGTGCGCCACCGCGCCGGCGAAATGAGTCATGCTGACGGTCTCGCATCAGAGCGCGTTTCGTTAGGGCTCCGCCGCTCTGTATGGCGCTGCAGAAATGAGCTCGTCCCGGTGACATCATCTGAGGATAAAGAAGTGAGACCACCGCACTGTCAGTTCCTAGGTTGTCTCAGAACCCACTGGCCAGGCCAGGCGTGCTGGCGTACCAGGGCTGGTGGCGCACGCCTGTCATCCCCGCGCTCCGGGCCGAGGCAGGAGGAGCGCTGCGAGTCCTCGGCCAGCCAGAGCTGCGCAGTGAGACCCTGTCTCAAAAAGACCTGCCCCCCACAAAAAACCCTATCGGCTAAATCCGTTTGTGCTTTTAAAATAGCCCAGATCTGTATCGTTCTCACATGCTTCCCCTAACCTGTATTGCGCTGTATTATTTAATTTATTTATCTTCGTTTTTTGAGACAGACTGTCTAGTCCGTGGTGGCCTTGAGTTTACTGTGTTGCCCAGGCTGGTCTCAATCCTGGAGATCCTCCTACCTCGGTCTCCCAAGCGCTGGGATTGTAGGAGTGCGCCATCACCCCCGACATTTGAGTTACATTACTCTTAAGGAGACAGAACTGATCGTTTGGGCAGACGCTTGTTTAACAAATGGCTCAAGCTTAATACCTTTCATAAAGATGATAATTACAGCTAAAGGGAGCACTGAACAAGTTTTTATGTGTAGACATCATGTTGAGGACTGTTTTTTTTTTGTTTTTTTTTTTGCTAAAAAAACTTAAAACTTTGTGAGGTGGAAATAGTTAACTGTTTTACAGATGGCAAAACTAAAAACACACAGTTGGGGCTTTTTGTTTTGCTTTTTTTTGTGGTTCTGGGGGTTGAACCCAGGGCCTGGTTTCTACTACTGTAGGTAAGCATTTCACCTCTGACCTGCATGCCTACCTTTTTAATATTTTGAGAGGGTCTCATTAAACTGCCCGAGACTACCCTCAAACTTTGAACCCTTCACCCTCAGCCTCAGGAGTAGACAAGATTGTTGGCATGCGCACCTTCCCGGGTTTCATGTATTTCTGTTTTGTTTTGTTTTTTGTTTTCACTCAGGGCCTGTGTAGTTCGGCTAGCCTTGAGCTCACTCTGTAGCCCCGGCTGGCCTTGGACCTGTGGCAGCCTTGCCTCAGCCCTCCAAGTGCTGGGATTACAGACGTGGGCCATGCCACGATGCCCAGCAGGCTTCGTACATTTCCCAAACACTGTTTGGTGGTGCTGTGTGGTGTTTACTATTGAGAATTTTTCTGTGTTAAATGGCTTTCCTTGGGGGTGGTCTAATCCATATTTTTGTTTTTAGTGTGTATTGTCTCAAAAAACAGAAAAGAAAAACACCCAAGACTATGTGTTAGCTCAGTTTAAAAATGAGATCATATGTTCATAGTTAGGGAATTTCAAAATCCTTACAAATGCTGAGCAGGTAGCTTGTCCCTTTGGGGGAGAGAATCTCTGAGACCCTTTTAGAGGATCCACAAGGTTAAAGTTATTTTCATAACATTTAAAGCATTACTTGCTTTTTAACCTCTATTCTTTCATGTATATGCAGTGGAGTTTTCCAGAAGCTATATGGCAGACGGTAGGTGTCAACAGATGCAATGCAGAAGAATTTCTAATAATCTGATTTCTGTTGAACCACAGATTTATAAGGTTTGCCAGAATGCAGGAGTACCATTATTCTCACTTTTTTGAAGTTACTTTTCATAAAAATGCTACTTATGTGAACAAATGATAGATTTATATTTGATCATCATATTTTTAATATTTTGTCATTTGAAATCAGAGTTCCTAGTCAATATCAGCAATTTGTCTTTGGTTATTAGCTATTTATTTTGATGCTTAACACATTGCTTAAATATTTCTTTATAATGGGCTTATTATATTAAAAAAACTTAATAGGAAAAGTACTTTTTTTGTTTTGTTTTGTTTTTTGTGTTTTTGAGACAGAGTCTCACTATGCAGTTCAGGCTGGCCTTGAGCTCGCTTTGTAGCCTAGGCTGGTCTTGACCTTGCAGCTATCCTCCTGCCTCAGCCTCCCAAGTGCTGGGATTACAGGCGTGTGCCACCACGCCTGGCGGAAAAGTACATTTTTAATAGTGGAAGGGGAAGAGTTTCACTAATCAATTTCTTCATAAGTAGTCTCAAAAAATCTCAAAAAAATTAGCATACTTCTGACTGATAAAAAAGACGGTTTATGCTGATTGACTGTTCCGGATACATATTTGAAGCAGATATTGTTAATGATCTAGAACTGATAGTTGATAAAATAAGCATTTTAAATTACCATTTCATAATGTGCCACAAAGTACAAATATGAGCTCTAGAGATATTGTCTGAAACCAGTATAGATTATTAGGTGTGAGCTAATAAAGATTTGGTGAATGTAGACACCAAGGAAAGAACTAGTGACTTGTCTCCTTTTTAAGTTTTAGATTTTTAGTTTTTGGTTTTGTTTTGTTTTCCAGTACCAGGAATCAAACTCACGACCTTGCGCTTGCCAGGCAGGCGCTGTGCCGCTGAGCTAAATCCCCAGCCCCAGGTTTAGATTTTTAGATTAGGGATTCTCAACCTGTAATTTGTATCTCTGAGTCTAGCTTCAGTAAACAATCTTTTATTAGTACCTTTACAGCTAAAGATGAGTTATCACAGGGACCTGGCTGGGAAAATGTGGAACCTTCCATTGCAGAATATAACATTCTGTACTTAACCTGCTGGAAGATAAGATAGGTGAAACTCTTGAAGACATAGGTGTAGGCAAGGACTTTCTGAATGGAAATAGTACCAGATGTTAACAAATGGGGTCAGGCCAGATTAAAAGTTTCCTGAAGAGCAAAGGAAATAGCCAACATAGTGAAGAGACAACCTAGACAGTGGGGAAAAAAATTTTTTTGACAGTTATTCATTGGACAGAGACTATTATCTAGACTATATAAAATACTTTTTAAAAAGACCCCTCAAAAGAAAAATCTGTTCAAAAAATGGGTAACTGAAATGAGTAGACATTTCTCAGAAGAAGAAATAATAAATCACCAATAAATACATGAAAAAATGTTCAACATTGCTAGGCATTGAAGAAATGTGAATTAAAATAACATGGAGATTACATCTTACTCAAGAAAGAATGGCTGCTATCAAGAAATGACATCACAAATCACTGCCTTACAAACATGTTTCATTCTGAGAGAATGTTCTTAAATCAGATTTGATGCCGGGCATGGTGGCACACACCTGTAATCCCAGCACCTGGGAGGCTGAGGCAGGAGGATCATGAGTTTGAGGCCAGCCTGGGCTACAAAGTGAGCTCAAGGCCAGCCTGGACTGCATAGCGAGACCCTGTCTCAAAAAGACAAAAACCAAAAATTAAGTCAGCTTTGTTTGCAAGTTCAACAGAGTGAGTCATGTACCCCTTGGACATAAATATACAATGTAAGGCATTAAAAAAACTGCACACACACACAGTGTAAATGAACCAGCTTGCTTTTACAGTTAGCGTCACATGGGGGTGCAGCGCAGTACCACACCTGGCATTAGGGGACTGCATGGAGAGAACTGACAGGAGTTACTAGCAGGAGGAGAGGGCCGACGGGAGGTGACGGTGCTGAGGGGTCGTCAGCGTGGGAGATGGAGGCAGGACGGAGTCTGGCCCACACCTGATGTTGGACCGTCAGGGTCAACAGCAGTTTCCCTGAACTTGTTTGCATCTGTGAATGTTCATAGTGCAAGGTGCACTTGGGTCTGTGAAAATTCAAAACTCAAATGTAACTCGGGCACTTACTGTAATATGGCCAGGCTGTGGGGAGAAAGGAGCCTTCCTACACTGTTGGTAGGAATGTAGACTAGAACAGCCAGTGTGGAAATCAGTGTAGAGATTCCTCAAAAAACTAAAACTAGAAATTCAGTTTATCCTAGCTAGTTTTCTGCTAGGTATCTTCCTAACTCACAGCACAAGCGCCTGCCTGGCAAGCGCAAGGTCCTGAGTTCGATTTGTGGTACCAAAAAAAAAAAACCCAGAATGTTGAAGACAACACATTTCAGAGATACTTGTGGATACCCATTTTGATAGCCACACACTTCACGGTAAATCTTGAAAGCAGCCTGTATGCCTATCAGCAGATGACTACATAAAGAAAATGTGGCATTTATAAATAATGGAGAATTATCCAGCCATAAAGAAGGATAAACTTGACTCATGTGTAGGAAAATGGATGTACTTGAGAGTATAATGTGGAGTGGAATAAATCACATGCACAAGCTTAAATATTGCACGGTTTCTCTTAAATGAGAAACCCCGCAGGGAGGCAGGATAATCCAGTGGTTTGGAGAACACTGTGGTTCTGGATAATCCAGTGGCTCTGAGTTACACTGTCTTAAATGCGAAACAAATATAAATAAAAGGCAAAATAAAAGATAGATAATAGAGGAAAAAAGTTTTCTAGAGAAGTTACCATTGATGAAAACGTTGTGATTTTCTGCATTTTGTGATGTTTGTAGTATTTGATAGATTTTTTAGAGTTTAACTGTGCAGTTCAGGCTGGCCTTGGACTCACTTTGTAGCCCAAGCTGGCCTCAAACTCACAGTGATCCTCCTGCTTCAGCCTCCTGAGTGCTGGGATTACAGACCTGTGCTACCACACCTGGCCTTGACAGCTTTTAAAGTGTTTGTTTGGAGACAAGATCTTCCTATTTAGTTCAGGCTGACCATGTTCTTAACTAGTAGCCCAAGATAGTCTGGAGGTCTTGGAGATCCTCCTGCGTCAGCCTCCCAAGTGGTGAGGTTGTAGGTGTGTACCATCATGCCCAGCTTTAGACTTCACTACCCAGGTTCTCTCTGTCCATAAGGTAGATTTGGTTTTTTGTTAAGTGAGTAAACCTTTGGGTGTGGAAATAAATAAATCTCTCAGAAAATAAAAGAGGAGAAAGTTTTTAAAAAGGAAATTAAATATATTCTGAGACCTTGAAAAAGAAAGAGCTTAATGTTTTATTTTCCTGAACACAGAGATTACTTCCCCAGCAGATGGAGTTTGGTAAGTGCTCCAACATAAATAGACAAAAAGACTGTGAATTAGTAAACACACTCTAAATACAGATCTTACAACCTCCTCCTTTATGTTACTTAAATGATTAAAGTATTTCACTGAATAAAGAAGTTATTTAGAAGACACATCAGAAGAACATACATTTGACAGGTAAACTGCTTTTGTAAGAGACCTGTTCCGAAGAGAGTTACATCTTCATGAAATACCCTGTCGGTGTTGAAGTGCCAGTGTTTTTGGTGAACAGTGAGATGGGTAATCATTTGGTGGTGGGGAAGTGAGTGACGGAGTAGCGAACAAACCAGCTTACCTTAGCGTAGAAACGAACTGCTGATATCCTCGTGTCTTTGGGGAAGAATGTGTCTTACATTCTAAAGCGCTCGTTCTACTTTATGGGCACGTGTGTATTTGCGCACGTGAACATACATTGGTGTCCATAGACTAAAACTGGTAGCAATATTAAGTTTGATTTAATTTCTATTTTTACTGTAGGTATATTAAAGCAAGTCAAAGATTATATTAAACAGTGTAGCAAATGCCAGGAAAAACTAGATCGCTCCCGTCCGATATCAGATGCTTCCGAAATGTTGGAAGAACTGGGCCTAGACCTCGAGTCTGGAGAGGAAAGTAACGAGTCGGAGGATGACCTGGGCAGCCTCACCTCACCTCCAGCCGCAGCCTCCAAGTCTGCGAAGAAGAAGCCAGTGTCCAAACACGAGCTAGTATTCGTAAGTGGTACTTCGCGTTCAGTGTTAACAGGAGTTTAACTGGTGCGCCCATGCCGCGGTCTCGGGGAGTGTTACTTTGCTCGGAACGCCTGCGCTGCTTGGCGGTTGCACTGGCGCCGACAGTCCTGTGTGCACTGGGGCTTACTGGAGCAGGCGGGTGGGTCGCACACTGTATTGCTCCGTAAGCCAAGAGTACGCCGGTATTGCCTCTTCGCGGGTGATAAATTTACTTCTCCAGAGTGAACTTAGGACCCTGCTGATTTTTGTTACTTGCCCCTGTTTCGTTTTTTTTTTTTTTTTTTGGTAATGATGTCTTGGTACAGGTAAAATACTCTCCTGGAGCAGTCTCTAGATTATACAGCAAGATAAAACTAATTTGGCTAGGTTTTTGGTGGTTTTCTGGTTAGTTTTTTTCAGTTTTTGCTTGTTTGTATGTTTGTTGTTGTCTTTGTTTGAGTCTCACTATGCAGTTGAGGCTGGCCTTGAACTCACAATCCTCCTGTCTCAGCCTCCAGGGCTGGGATTATAGGTGTGTGCCACCACGCCTGGCATTTGGGTTTTTTTTTTTACCTACATCCATGTTGTACATCATCAAAGTTCTGAGCAGTAGAAAAGATAGCAAGAAATTGGACACAGGACTTTAAACACATAGATAATAAAAGAAGAACAAGCTAGCATGCACAAAGCCCTGGGTTTGACCCCCAGTACCAGGAAAAGAGACATAAAAAAGGGGGTTATCTCTTCATCTCTGTTAATGTGGAATAGTCTCCCCTAAGGGTGAAACGTGCAGGTGGCACATAACACACCCCTTGATGTCAAACGTGCTCCGGCAGGTCGACACCAAAGGCGTGGTGAAGCGGTCTTCTCCGAAGCACTGCCAGGCCGTGCTGAGACAGCTGAATGAGCAGAGGCTCTCCAACCAGTTCTGTGACGTGACGCTGCTGATCGAAGGGGAGGAGTACAAAGCTCACAAATCCGTTCTGTCGGCTAACAGCGAGTACTTTCGAGACCTTTTTATCGAGAAAGGAGCTATTTCCAGCCACGAGGCTGTGGTAGATCTTTCTGGTAAGAACTTTCGAATACCCTTGGTTTTTGTTAATATGTACATTCTGGAAGAAGGGTGTGTGTGTGTCTGTCTGTCTTCCAAACCCCAGATATATGCTAACACGTAGAGTCTTACAGCAGCAGGCCAACTCAAAGGTTTCTTTTTAGCAGAGTTTCTAATGTAGAATTATGGAAAAAGCAATCCCTTTCTACCATTGTCTTGTGGGCCAGACAGCTATAGCAGAATTATTATTCCCATAATCATAGCTGTTAAAAATGGAATATGTATTATTTAAATTTGTCTACTTAGCCAGGCGTGGTAGCACACGCAATCCCAGCACTCAGAAGGCTGAGGCAGGAAAATTGCTGCAAGTTTGAGGCCATCCTGGGCTACATGTGAGCTCAAGGCCAGTCTGAACTATACAACGAGACCCTGTCTCAAGAGGACAATCAGGCTGGGCATATAGCTCAGTGGTATAAGCGCCTGCCTGGGAAGCGCAAGTTCCTCAGTTTGATTCCCGGTACCACAAAAAAAAAAAAAAAAGACAATTGATCAGTCAATCAATATTGTCTACTTATGTCTTATTTTGTGTACGTGGGATTGTACACAGTGCTTTTGTAAATTCGTTTTGTTGTAAAGATGAGTCATAGCCAGGTCTGGTGGTGCACGTGGGCGCTTGGGAGACTTCCATGGGAGGGTCACGAGTTTGAGGCCAGCCTAGCCTGCATTGTGAGTTTGACACCAGCCTTGACTGCATAGTGAGACTCCATCTCAGGAGAGAAAAAGAGAAGTTAAAATTCATTAAGTCAGAGCCAGGCGTGGTGGGGCACGCCTGTAATCCCTGCACTCAGGAGGCTGAGCGGGAAGACAGCTGGGAGTTCAAGGACAGCCTGGACCACAGAGTGAGTTCAAGGACAACCTGAACTACACAGTGAGATCAGGACCGCCAGAATTCATTAAGAATTCATAAAGAATGCATTAAGTAAACCATCAGTATAGAAAAATAAAAATCAAGGTGGGTTTTTGTTTTGGTTTGGTTTGGGTTTTTTGCTTTTTATGTTAGAGATAGTTTGACTTTGTTTGGGCCTTATTAGAATTTGTGTATGTCAGGGTGTCAATCAACAAATGAAAACTGAATTCTGCTACCGTTTACCTGGAGATGCTGTGACACCCCGCAGGTGGAGGGCTCGTTCCGCCGCACTGCCCTGCGTACGCCTTGGTGATGCCAGTCACGTGGCCCAGCTACTTTACCTGTGCTCCCTGCGCACCAGCTGTGCATTGGGGCTCTCACAGTTTAACTCACTAGGCAGCTCACAGAGTTTAAGGAAACACTTACCTTTTGGTTTCTTGCAAAGGGTGCTGTGATGGGTACCAGGGAGCACCGGGTGAGGCTGGTAGGGTGGGCTGCCTTAGGGTAGCCTAGCCGTCCAAAAGGTGTGTCTCCTCTCATTCTCACTTCCCGGAGACTGACACTGAGCCCGTGGCCGCCGTGGCCGTGGGCGGCTCCCCTCACGTGGGGATCGGGCCTGGCCTTGCCCGGTGGACCCTGGACTTACAAACGCAGTTGGCTCCTGGGCGCTGGCTATAACTCGGGTTGTCAGTAGGAGGCTCAGGCCCCTCCACACGGTCTCGTGTGCACAGCAGAGCTCCGTGTCCTCGGAGACGCTGGCGCGGGATCTCGCCCTTACCCCTGCAGGAGAGGGTGTGTCATGTTCCCGCCGGGGCTCTTGAAGGGTTAAGTCCGACTCTGAGACCATCTGGAAGCACAAGCGGCCGCCGTCACGTCACAACTCAAGACTTTGGTTGGAAGTTAAAACTAAAATTTTGGTCATAACCCGGGTTCATGTGCCGGGCCCGCTGCAGCTCGAGGGACCACTGTACTTCCTAGGCAAGCACGCGCTCGCCCACCCTCCCATACCGCTCCCTTTTCAAATTCTGAGACAGGGTCTTACCGTGTTGCCCATTGTTCTCAAGCTGGTGGGACTTGTGCCTCAGCCCGGGAAGCTGGGAGGGTGGGCCTGCCCGCCTGCCTGCGCAGGGCGTCTTCCCTTCATAGATGGTTGAAGGTCAAGGAGATGAAACGCAACTGCGTTTTCCCTGTTGAGGGTTACAGACGGGGAGCGGGGAGAGGCCGTTTGCTGACTGGCTGGCGAGGAGGGGAAGTGTCTGAGGCTCTTTTACACAGGTACGGAGGTCGTCAGGCCCCTTCCCAGGCCGGGGGCTCCTTTCCGGGGTGCAGAGTGACCACGTTCTGCGCAGGGTTTTTGAGCCTGAGGGGTCAGAAGGTCGTCCTGTTGTACTTCGTGTGTCCGTGTTGATGGGACGCCTGTGCTGCAGAACAGGGAGGTGAGACCTCCCTCCCTGGTCACACCAGGAAACCACAAACCAAGCAGAGCTTCTGTGTCGAGACTTGGCTTTTTAAGAATTCTGGTGTATTGAGGTGAGGGGAGACAAGTAACTAGGAATTGAACTCAAGGCCTGGTGCAAGAGCTTCATCAATGAGGTCTATCTCGAGCCCTGTGGAAATTTTTAATCATGTTTTAATAAAGACAGTTGTCACTATAGTGGTTTTTTTCTGGTTTTATAAATCGTGAGAAGTTTAAGAAATCACTTTTTTTTTGGTTCCGGGAATCGAACTCATGCCCTCAGGCTTGCCAGGCAAGCTAAGAAATCATTTTGAAAGTAAAGCATTGGGGCTGGGGATTTAGCTCAGCGGCACGGCGCCTGCCTGGCAAGCACAAGGCTGTGAGTTCGATTCCTGGTACCGGAGGGGAAAAAAAAAAGAAAGAAAGAAAGTAAAGCATTGGCTGGGCATGGTGGTACATGCCTGTAATTCCAGTGCTCGGGAGGCCGAGGCAGGAGGATCACTGTGAGTTCGAGGCCCACCTGGGCTACAAAGTGAGTTCAAGGCCAGCCTGAGCTGCATAGTGAGACCCTGTCTCAAAATGGCAAAAAAAAAAGTAAAGCATTGAGAAATTACAAAAGAAATAAACTGCCCTTATTCTCCCACTTATCAAAGAAAGAATATAGTACCTCATTCATATAGTAATTCTTCCATTCCTTCAAGTCAGGATAAACAAGTGCAGCCCAGGGACCAGTCTTCTTGCTTTTTTGTGAAGAAGGTGTGTTTTCCACCGTGCTGGGTCTTGCCCAGTGGTGTGCTCTCGCCTGTAGGGTGTACTTCCATTCCTGCTCTCAGTTGGCCTGCACTCGCTTTGCACAGCGTGTTTTTCACCTTCGGTAAATGTCAAACCTCACTTTAAAAAAAAAGAAAAACAAGTCATATTCGTGCTCAGCCGTACCCATTGCGTGCATCTGCCTTCCAGTTGCAGTGTCAGAGCTGAGCGGTTGTGAGACACTTAACGACCTGAAGTATTGTTTCATTCTTCTCAGAAAGGTTTTGCTGACCCTTATCTTAGATCTTGGTTTTAATTTTTAGTTGCACAATACTTTGGTCAGTCAGAATTTTATATGGACTACTGTTATTTAAAAAGAGTGCACACTGCTTCATGTCGTTCGGGGTGCGCTGGTTGAGCCCCGCCTACTCACCTGCCTCCCTTTTTTTCCACCCCCTATTCTGCAGCAGCTGTTTCTTGAGGGGAATTTGAGGAACCCGGGGTTTTTTTTTTTGTTGTTGTTTTTTTTTTTGGTTTTTCTCTGGTACCAGGAACTGAACTCACGACCTTGCGCTTGCCAGAACCCGGGGTTTTAAGGGGCACAGTGTGACAGTGGCTGCCTTACACCAGCGCCTGCGGTAGTAAGTGGGGTGCTATGCTCTGTGGTAGGTGTGGAGGACTAGCTCATAGAGGTGACGTGCTCGTTACTCAAGGTTTAAGAAGCAGCCAGAATAGAGAGCAAGTCCGGGGTAATAGATCGCAGAGTAGGTGGTCATGATTGTGGTTTTCGTATTTTATGTTATAAGCGTGTATTAGTTGCTCTTGTGGTTTAGTGATGATGGTTTCGTCCCCTGCTTTCCTTGTTTTGTACAGGGTTTTGTAAAGCAAGTTTCCTTCCCTTGCTGGAATTCGCCTATACTTCCGTACTGAGTTTCGACTTCTGTAGCATGGCTGACGTGGCCATCCTAGCCCGCCATCTTTTCATGTCCGAGGTGTTAGAGATTTGTGAGAGCGTGCACAGACTGATGGAGGAGAAGCAGCTCACGGTGTACAAGAAGGGCGAGGTGCAAACAGTCGCGTCTACCCAGGACTTAGCAGAGGAGCGCGGAGCCGCAGCCCCTCCTGCAGCCAGCAGTGAGGGAACCCCGGCCGCGCTGTCGGGTGAGCTTGGAGACTGCGAGATCGTGCTCCTGGTGAACGGGGACTTGCCGGAAGCTGAACAGAGCGGAGAGTTAGGACGGCGGCCTGAGCCGCAGGTTTCTTCAGAGCCGGAGGCCCCTCCGCCGTCTGTAGGATGTATAAGTAACTCCCATCCAGAAGTGGAGACTATTGATCTAGTAACAAAGAACAGCCAGCCAGAGCTAGAAGCTTCAGACATTAGAGAAGACGACACAGGCTCTCATTCTCATCCTCAGCTTTCAAAAGAGACCATAATCATTAGCTCTCAGGAGAACAGTGACATGGAACATGATACACCAACTGAAGATGTGTGTGTTGAAGATATTTCGAAACACAGGGACGACCTCACCCAGCCTTCACAAGACGACGAAAATCCAGTTGCACCCACCGAAGAGCCGGACGCGAGCCCTGATGACACGTACAGAAGCAGGCTCCGGCAGCGGTCTGTCAGCGAAGGGGGTTACATCCGACTGCACAAGGGCCTGGAGAAGAAGCTGCAGAAGCGGAAAGCCCTGCCCAAGTCGGCGATTCAGCAGGTGTGCGAAGCGCGCCAACCCTGCGGTTGTGCTGGGGTGGGTTTAGTGTGCATGATAAAGTTAATTGGGAGGGGGTGGCACAGGGGAGCAGTTCCATGTTTTGAATAACAATATTAATAAGATAATGTAAATTTGAAACATTTTATTTGAAATTTATAAAATGACATGGTTTTAAAAACCAAAATGAACATTTTTTTTTTTCCTTGACTAGGTGGCCCAGAAGTTAGTTCAAAGAGGGAAAAAATTGAAACAGCCAAAAAGGGATGCTCCGGACAACCCTGAAGAAGCCGCGCACAAGTGCGGGGAGTGCGGCATGGTCTTCCAGAGGCGCTACGCCTTCATCATGCACACGCTGAAGCACGAGCGAGCCCGAGACTACAAGTGTCCAGTGAGTATCCGCGCTGCTTGGAGCGGCTCTGAGTTCGGGAAGTGCGTCCGTCTCTTTCTTACGGGTGCTTACTCTCGCCGCGGGTGCTCTGTCTCCCCACGAAGAGGCAGCGTCTGCTCTGTACACGCCGCTACTTGCCCCTGCTCGAGGGTCGGTCGGTGCTTTACCTTCGCGGTCTCCCATATGCTGGTAGGAGCAGTACAAGATGCTTTCAAAAACATAAACGCATGTAAGGGCAAAGAGAACAGGAGGAAGCCTTGGCGGCTGGATTCCGAATGCGAGTAAGTAGATGGAGTGGGTGACGCAGCAAACTTGAAATGACTCATTTCCAGGTTTTCAGTAGAAAAAGCAAAGCATCAGTTGTAGTCTTGCAGAACCACCAAGAGGCTTCGGACTTGGTGGTTGTGGAAGTAAAAGCAATTGCATCACCATCCCTTGGCCAGAGATCCTTGCTTTCGCTGGGAAAAATACAACCGCAGCTTGTAGGGAGCACCGTGCAGTGCAGGTGGGCGTGATAAAGCCAGCGTGGCCAAGTGCAGGTGTCCGTACTGAGTACTGGAACCTTCCAACGTCTCCCTCCTTATTCAAGTCCCGGGACTTAGCAGCCAGACCGTCAACCCTGAGCAGAAAGCTTTCTCAGACAGCAGACACCAACAGCTTAAGCCTGGCAAAATAGATACTGCTTACTATTTTTTTCTTTCCTTTCCTTTTTTGTTTCTGTACTGGGATTGAGCTCAGGACTTGCTCATGCCAGGCAGGCACTGTGCCGCTGAGCTGCACCCCCGGCCAGCACTGCTTATGAAACACTGTGGGTGGGGAACTGCACTCCCACTTTCAATTAAGAAATATGAATTCGCTGCTTGCTGGTGCTGTTTTTTTAAGAGAGGGTGCCCTGTTCAGTTGCCCGGTCTGGCCTAAACCCCTGGGCTTCGGCACTCCTGTCCCCTTCGCCTCTGCAGCAGCTGGTGCTGCGGCTCGTGCGCACTGCCTGGCTTCCCCGTAGTCTCTTGTTGTTTGGTGCTGGGGCTGAATTCACGTCCGCGCATATCAGGGATCATCAGACTTGTGATTTCAAGAGAAAAAGCAACTTCAGGAATCTTAAGACTGTAGGAAAAATACTCAAAGTTGATTTATATAAAAGGCAAATGAAAAAATTGCATGCGGGAGATAGTAACCGTGAGTAGGGCTCACGTTCACGGGTCAGCTGATCGCATGCTGAAAGCACTTGAAGGAATGTGGTACATATATACAGACTTTCTTCTTGTCGCGATTGCCTGACCGATATCGCGTAAAAACTTACCCAGCGCCTCACTTTAACTAGGTGTTATAAATAACCCAGCGCTGACTTAGTAATGCAGAGCCGGTGTGTGGGAGGTGGGGGTCAGTTACATGCAAATACCATGCTGTTTTAATAGGTGACGGTACGGGATTTCAGTCTTCAGACAGTCCTGGAGCCCGTCTTGGATTGGTCAGGGACAAGTGCGCTGTGTTTTAAGGAGTCATTAGGAGAGCAAAAGAGTCTTCTGGTTTGGTTTTGGTCTTTTGAGACAAGTGTGCCGGTGAAGCTCAGGCTGACCTTGAACTCAAAATTGTCCTTCCGCTGCCTCCTGAGTGCTGGAATTACACCGCCAAGTCTGTTCAGAGAGCTTTTTAGCGATAAAATACAGATATTTTAAATTTATGGCTGGGCGTGGTGGCCTATGCCTATAGTCCCAGCACTTGGGAGGCTGAGGCACTAGGATCGTTGCAAGTTCGAGACCAGCCTGGGCTAAAAAATGAGCTCAAGGCCAGCCTGAACTGCATAGCGAGGCCCTGTCTCAAAAGGACATAAATAAATAAGTTTATGATGGGGCTTACTATGATGTAATCCCATCATAAATTGAAGACAGTCTGTAGTAACCAAAATAAGATAAAATATGAGAGTGCAAAAAAACTGGAACATTAGACTATAATAAAATAATATTTCCAAATACAGAACATGGAGGAAAGAAAACGATTGTGATAATCAAAAACCTCAGAACCTAAGGAGAGGTATTTTCATGTTGAAAAGGTACATTGCTCAGAAAAGTGGATGAAAATAAACCTATGTCAAACTACATTATGAACTTTGAGAATCAGGGGAAGAAGAATACCTTACAAATTCCCAGAGGAAAAAAATGGTCAGTCTCACAGAAAGGATCTGGATCAGACTGGCTTCAGGCTTTTCCGCAGCAGCAATGGAAGCTGTAAGACGAAGGTACAATATCTTTTAAGTTCTAAAGAGAAATGATAGCTGAGTTGAGAATACAACCAAACTATTGATTAATTATCATTATTATCATTACTATTATTTGGTCTTTTGAGACAGGGTCTCACTGTTTGGTGTAGCTGGTCCTGAACTTCCTGTGTCACTCAGACTCTCCAGCAGTCCTGCCTCAGCCTCCCAAGTGCTCAGATTACAGGCATGCACCACCATGCCCGGCGCCTGTCAGTTGCTTAGGATGGTAGAACATACTCAGACATGCAAGACCTTAAAAGTGTAACTTCCCAAACTCCCTTTTTCAAGAAGCTGTTGCTAGGTCACTAAAATGACCAGGACATAGGAAATGGAGATACCGGCTTACTTCGATGAAGAGTCTAAAGAATTCGTCAGGACAGTAGTGAGGGGAGGTCTCAAGGTGCCGCTGTGCCAAACACGGTGAACAGCCGGTCGGTTACAGCAGGGCGTCGCGCCGTGGCAGAGCTTCCCGGTAACAGTGGTGGCTTACTTGTTGGGGGTCCACAGCTTGCACCCAGGGCCCTCCCTCTGAGCTACACACATCATGTTTGTGATGGGCGTCTCACTGAGCTGCCAGGCTGGCTCAGACTTGAGCCTCCTCTGCCTCAGCCTCCCAGGACGCAGGATCACGTGTGTGCCAGTGCCCTGGTCAGTGGCGACTTAAATCTCTCAGGATGGGAGGAAGAGCGTGGTGATGCATTAGTGTAAATGCAAATAAATAAACAGGAAAATCAAGAAAGGAGAAAGGATCATCGTGCACGTGTAGTACCCAGCTTCCATAGGTTTACACCCTACTGCACTGTTGAGACGGTCCTTACACCAGTGGGGGTAATTGTCCATGTGTAGTGTAACTAAAGTGGAGTGCTGGGAATCATTTACATATGGGAAACGCAGGAATGAAAAGAAGCGGTTTTTATTACGAATATTATTGAAAGAGTTACAAAGCAAACCGGGACGGTGGCACGCGCCTGTAAGCCCGGTGCTCAGGAGGCTGAGGCGGGAGGGTCACCAGGAGCTCAAGGCCAGCCTGGGCTACATAGTGAGTTCAAGGCCACTCTGAACCGCAGAGCAGGAGCTGTCCCCCTCCAAAAAAAAGACAAAAACAAAATTTAAAAAAAGCGTTAAAATAAGCACCAGAACCATGGGGAAAGTTAACGTCAGAACCCTCCCCGGTTCCCCGGGGGGAGTTCGGTAGAGAGTATGCATCAGGAAACCCTGTTTCATTAAAAAACAAGTTTTGCAGATGGTAAGCATATAAGTGACTTTTAAAGAGAAGCTCTCGTGAATTACCAGCAACTATGGAACAAAATCCAAAGAGCATCACAGTCTTAATCTTTCTACTTTATTCCAGCCCGTATGTCTGTTCCGTGCAAAACTACTACGATATTAGTCGGAGTGGTAATTACTTATCTGTGTCTAGTCGTTTAAAACCCACTTCAAACCCCGTGCTTTCCTCTTGCTCTGATCACTCTTAAGACCTTAACCTTTTTGTCACCAGACATGATGGCACAGGCCTGTAACCCAGCATTCAGGAGGCTGAGGCAGGAGGGTTGCCATCAGTTTGAAGGCAACCTGAACTACATAGTGAGACCCTGTCTTAAAAACAAAAGCAAAACAAAATTTCACCTTTTTCTATGTATAAAATCTGTGCTTTGGTTTTTATTGTGTACTTACGTATGTATTACTTGAGACAGAGTCTGTCTTGCCAAGGTTGGCCGTGAACTTGGTGGTCCTCCTTCCTCAGCCTCCTGAGTAACTGGAATTATAAGCAGGTGTCACTGCCAAGTTTCTGGTTAGATTTTAACTACAGTGGGGCCTGAGGGCCCTGTTCATCTCTACGGTCTGGCACGTAACATGCTGTCTCTTGCACAGTCCGTGTTTATTATTTTTTTTACTGTTACAACAGAAATGGAAAGTTGAAATGAGTCATCGCACTTAGCATTTTGTAATGCAAGTGCGTTTAGGTAGAATCTGTTTACCCTTTCTTCTAGTTGTGTAAGAAACAGTTTCAGTATAGTGCCTCGCTGCGGGCACACCTGATCCGACACACCAGAAAAGACGCGCCCTCTTCGTCCTCGTCCGGTTCCACATCTAATGAAGCGTCGGGAGCCTCGTCTGAGAAGGGCAGAACCAAACGAGAATTTATATGTTCCATATGCGGAAGGACGCTGCCGAAGTTGTACTCCCTCCGAATACACATGCTGAAGCACACGGGTGTAAAGCCGCACGCATGCCAGGTAAAGCCATAACATGTGTTTGTTATGTAAGAAGATGTAAGCTAACTGTCCTGGTGAGGCTTGTGCGGAGTCACCGTCGCTCGCCCAGTGTGTTGGGAGAACTTGTCTCCAGCTTGTTGCCTGCAGTAAGGATGACGAGAATAGAATATACTGTAAGAGAATTGAATGCACCCTCATGTATCTTTCACCCGCGTTTTGTAGTTTGTTTTGTTTTTTTGTCTTTTTGAGACAGGGTCTCCCTATGTCACTAACTGCCCAGGCTGGTCTCAAAGTCACGTTGATCCTCCTGCCTCAGCCTCCTGAGTGCTGGGATTACAGGCGTGCACCGCCACTTTAATAATTTTCCCCTGGTGGTCAAGTCTGTCCGACTCATACCATCACTCAGTGCTCTTCTCCCTACAGCCTCAGTATTCTGAAGCCAAGTCCAAATAACCGTTTCATTCATAAATTAAAATACTAAGTGTGTGGTCCACTGAGAGGCTAGAAATAGAGTAAGTGGGGCCAGGGATCTAGCTCAGCGGCACAAGCGCCTGCATAGCACGCACAAGGTCCTGAGTTTGATTCCCAGTACCAAAAAAAAAAAAAAAGGGAAAAAAAGTAAGTGTGTAAAAACTCCTACAGTTATTGGATGTTGTTCCAGCATTTTCTTGTGTTTGTAATACACATCTGTCCCCAGTTGACAAGGGAAAGACCAAAAAACTGGTTGTTCATCACAGAATTTGAGAAGTACTATTGGATCTGTTATGGCAGGAAGTAGGGAGCTGTTCCCTACCTCTTTAAGATGCAGTGTTTCCAGTCTCACAAGACCCTACCGGTCTTTTCCCGCATTGTTTTGCGCTCCGGTGGCCACGTGGGTTTAGAGAGATAGCAGTGGTACTCGTTAGGGGCTGAATCAGAAAAGGGATCTCTAGCTAACGTCCTCGGCATTTGTGCTTTCAACTTTCACTCCATCATTTTGCACATAATTTTAATGAGGCAAGTTAAAATTTAATTAAATTCTATTCAAAGTAATATGTATTATTTTTTATTTTAACTGATTGATTGGTACTGGGGATCAAACTCGGGAGCTTGTGCTTGCCAGGCAGGTGCTGTGCCTCAGAGCTGTATCCCTGGCCTAATCTTTTTGCTTTATTCCTCAGAAGCAGCACCTGTCTCCCTTTTTGTTTTCTGAGACAGGGTTTCGCTTTGTAGCCCGGGCTGGCCTTGAACTCCTGCCTCAAGGGGGCGACGCTGCAGTCCCAGCCTCCTGAGTGCTGAGGTTGCAGGCTTGCCCCCGCACGCCCGGCTCCTTGCTGTCCTTCTGACTTGACACCTTTCTCACGCCGTAGGTCTGTGGAAAGACTTTTATCTATAAACATGGTCTAAAGCTGCATCAGAGCCTCCATCAGTCCCAGAAGCAGTTCCAGTGTGAGCTGTGTGTTAAGTCCTTTGTTACCAAACGGAGCCTTCAGGAGCACATGAGCATTCACACGGGTAAGGAGTGCTACTAGTACAGTTAGAGTTTTTGTATTTGAATTCATTACTATTGAATTGATTGCGCTGTAATCTTACCAGAAATTATATTAATACACTGATGGTTATATGTGTGGAGGTTTTTTTTGGTTTTTGTCGTCTGTTTTCTAGTTTTTCAATTAATGAGACAATAGAGATAAAAGATTTCCTTAAATACAGGATTTTTTAAGAAAATTTTTTTGGCTTTTTGAGATTGGGTCTTGCTGCATAGCCCAGGCTGGCCTTGAACACGTGCTGTCCTTCCTCAGCGTGCTTGGTTCTGGGGTTACCGGTGTGCACCACCCTACCTCGTTTAAATGTGGTTTTAGAACTCGCATTTGCATAAAAATGTTCACTGTTTCTCTCTGAAGAGAAAAGTCCCAAGTCCCAAGTCATTAGACCCTAAAGAAAAGTCCCGGCGTGGTGGGGCACCCTGTAACCTGAGCACAGGGGTGCGCCTTGGCGTTCACAGCAGGATCCCTGCAACTGAGGCCCGTCTGAACTGTAGAGGGAGACCCTGTCTCAGGAAGAAACCGTGCTGAGTGCAGCTGAGTGGTGGGAGAGTCACACACTGGAGACCATCCCAGGCCATTTAGGGAGCCCTGTCCAGAATTAAAATTGCCTGGGAAGGAAGGGAAGGAGGGCAGTGAGGGTGGGTGGTTTTAAGAAGTTTGGTGTTAAGCAGATTGGAGACATCAACAGGGTAGGTGGTACATAGCTTTACTGGGAGCCTTCATCCCCCAGGCTTTAGAGAAAGCACGTGTAGCCAGGCGTGGCGCCACACTCCTAGTTCAGCTCTGGGGGCTGCGTGAGTGAGTTCAGGGTTCAAGGCCAATCTGACTCAAAAAAAGAAAAAAACAAGGTGTGGCTGTGCACGCCTGTAAAACCCAGCACTCGGAAGGATGAGGCAGGAGGATTGCCGTAAGTTTGAGGCCAGCCCGCACTCACACAGTGAGTTCAAGAGCACCCTGGACTGTGTAGTGAGGCCTTGTCTCAGATATGAATGAATGAATGAATGAAAGCGTGACATGCAGCTCAGGAAAGCGGCTAAAGAAAGCACGTGAGAGGCCAGTGAAGGCAGATGCCTGTTACGGAGCTGGGTCTCAGCGCGGGCCATCAGAGCTCGGAGACTGTAAGCACATCGCGTTCCTGGAGGAGGAGCCTCTGCTGGGCAGCCAGCCGTGAACCTCGTGCGCAGCGTTAAATGGCATCGCCTGGGGTATCACGGCCGTCGTGCGCCGCTACCCTCCACGACGTTCGTGCCACAGAGGCCCGCCAGGGACACGTTCCTCAGAGTTTGTCCTTTTCACCTGGCAGCGAATGGCTGTGTCGTACTTATAAAAGGAATAGGCGATTTCGGCAAGGTTTGTTGTTATCCTTACAGAGAGTCTTGCTAAGTGGTACAGTACTACGGTAAAATAACAGCTTGTGAACCTGGGCATCGTGGTGCACATTCACCTGTAATCCCAGCACACAGGAGCGGAGGCTGGAGGATCTCCAGTGTGAGGCCAGTCTGGGCAAGACCTGTCTCAAAGAAATTCTGGAACGTAACAAAGAATTCTGTTGGAAGCTGACCTGATCGCTAAATTTGTAACGTGTTTTTGTTTTTCACAGGAGAGTCAAAGTACTTTTGCTCAGTGTGTGGAAAGTCTTTTCACAGGGGCTCTGGACTCAGCAAACACTTAAAGAAACACCGGCCGAAGCCCGAGGTTCGAGGCTATCACTGTACTCAGTAAGCACCTAACGTGTGAACCTTTCTGTCCATCTCATTGTCTTCCTGCTTAGCTTGTTTGTAAGAAAATACAGATAGTACTACGCTGTAACCTCGGTCTACGCTTGATTTTAAACAGTCTTTTTCTGGGTGTTGCTATTTAACAGTTTTATTGAAACATGCATCATACACAGATAACTCTAAGCAGTTTTCCAAATGTGCTCCCGGGAGTGGGGGCTAGAGGGGACAAAGGGCCACAGCCAGCCAGAGTTCCTTTCTGGGCATTTCCTCCGACTTTGGTCGGGGCGGTCGTGTGAGTGCTGAACTGAAGACGTCGTGCCTGGCGCTAGACAGGCGCTCTGCCGCTTAGCTGCATCCTCGCGCAGCCCAGGGCTCTTGTGCTGTAGCGTGGGGCACTGCTAACTTCTCCTTCCCCGTGCACTTTTCTTACTTTCTCCCTCTTTTCTTTTTTAAAATTAGAGTTTATCAATTGTTGTCACAGATCGCATAGAAATACAAAATGCTTACAGACAGTACTTCCAGTTATTTATTACTATAATGGTGATACAGTTTTCAGTCAAATCTACATCCTTTCAGAGTAGAAGTACTGATTATTGCAATCAGACAACAGATTGAAAGACTTGTCCCAGGAACTGGCACATGCAGATCCTTGACTTGCATTTTTCATTTTCCAAGGCTTCTTGAAAAAAACTTTGAGTATAAGTTGGTAGAACAAAGTGAATCCCGGCAGGGCGTCCAATTCGGGGTTGTAGTACGTGCCCAGAGGTCACCAGTTCCAGAATCCCTCCAACGTTCAGCTGAGCCGTTCGCTTCTCCGCCTCACAGCGTTTGTGCGGACGCCGCTTAGCAAAGGCAAGAGCTTGAGGCCCTTTCAGGCAGTCAGAGCACCGCGGGCCTGTGCTCATCAGCCAGCAACGTGCAGACTTCTGACAGTCCTCAGAGCGTCTCATTCCCCTCCTGTATTTACACAAAGTAACTACCCTGGCCCCCGGTGACGGTGGCTAATACGCTCGCCTTTCGGTAATTTCACAGGCTTCTGTCTGCGCCCCTCCCTCCGTTACAGGGGAGTTAGGGTAAATAAAAGCAAAGAAGGGCTCCTTCAGAGAGCTACTGGATGGGTCAGCACAGCAGTTCTCCAGCAGGAGTTCCCGTTGGAAAGGAGCCTGTTGGGAACGCAAGCCGTTGCCTTTCAGGCTGTGGCTGAATGACAGAGATTCAGTAGTTGATTTTAATTAAACATTTGCCTGGTAGCTGTAAACTTTATTTTTTTGAGATAGGGTCTCATTATGTAGTGCAGCCTGGCCTTGAACTCATGGCCATCCTCCTGCCTCAGCCTCCAGGTGCTGGATTACAGGAGTGTCCCACCACATCCAGCTGGTCACCGTGAGCCAGTGATGGCGAACCTTGTAGAGCTTTCAGTGACGGAAACAGCGCACTGCGGTGTGCGTGCTCTGGGTTTCCCGCCACTGCTGTAACCCTGTGATTCGTTTCTGGAGTTCCTAAAAACTTGGTTCTGCTAGTTCGCCCGTTTATACACGACTTCTGGGGAGACACGGGTTTCTGGCATTTCATACTGTGGACACGGTGAGCGGGTTGTAAAGGCGGGAGCAGGACAGGTCAGAGGGGACATGGACAGACAGTAAGTCACTGCTGCGTGCCTTTTGGGAACGCGCCATGATTTCTCCTCAAGTATTTCTATGCTCTAGAGATGAAGAGCCTAAAAGCTGCATTCTTGATGCCAGATTGGCACATTCGGGGACGCTTTTAAAATTGGCAGTCATTTTGTGGAGTTGTAGAAAACCTAAGAGTGTACAGAACACTTGGAAACGTGTTACAGAGAGTAAGAGGGCCCAGTTGGGTAACGAAACCTCATTGCAGATGTGAGAAAAGCTTCTTTGAAGCGAGAGATCTTCGCCAGCACATGAACAAGCACCTCGGCGTGAAGCCGTTCCAGTGCCAGTTCTGTGACAAGTGCTACAGCTGGAAGAAGGACTGGTACTCCCACGTGAAGTCCCACTCCGTCACCGAGCCCTACCGGTGGGTGAGCCGAGAGGAGCCGAACCTGCCTGAGAGACACAGGTACATGATGCTTACGGCTTCCGGAGCCCCGGACAGAGTAACTCAGCTTGTCTCCCCTGTTCTAGGTGTAATGTGTGCGGCAAGGAGTTCTATGAGAAAGCTCTGTTCAGGAGGCACGTAAAGAAAGCCACCCATGGGAAGAAGGGGCGAGCGAAGCAAAACCTGGAGCGAGTGTGTGAGCAGTGCGGAAGAAAATTCACTCAGCTGAGGGAGTATAGGCGACACATGAACAACCACGAAGGTCGGTGTCCGCGCCGCGCGGTCTGAAAGCAGTCAGAGGCAGGCAGGCTGTCCCGCTGGCCGGCCCTCCGGGGGCGCCAGCCCGCCCGCCGTTAGCTTGCTCTCCCGTCAGAGGCGAGCCCCGGCCTTGGCAGAGGTGCTGGGGGACGGAGGCTCCCGAGCCTGTTACCTGAGGGCTCTGGTTTCCTCGTCCTGCTCACCGAATTCCTGTGAGGGCGTAAGGGAGGCGACGCGTAGCGGGGTTGCGAGTGGGTACGACCCACGGAGGGTCCTTGGAGCTTCCCGCCAGGCGCTCGGCTGGCGGCTGGTACTCGGGGGCTAGCCTCGGCTCTGCTGCTGGGCTGTACAGCCGCCCCTGTTCTTCCCGAGTAGCCTTGCTCAGTCGCCTGCCCGGGACTGGCCTGGGAGTCCTCCGGGCTCCGCCTCCCTCAGTGCTGTCCCGGGCGAGGGCCAGCCCTGGCTGGAAGCCTGCTTTCCCGCCTGTCAAGGGAGGCCATCCCGGGCTACGTGCGGGCTTACCACGGCCAAGCCAAGGAGACTCGGCGGCCCGAGTTGCGTGCCCAGCAGTCTTGATCTACTTCGTGCGTGCTTGCGCCTCACGCTGCGCTTCCTCTTAACAGGGGTGAAGCCATTCGAGTGCCTGACGTGCGGGGTGGCGTGGGCGGACGCCCGCTCCCTCAAGCGCCACGTTCGCACGCACACCGGAGAGCGGCCCTACGTGTGCCCCGTGTGCAGCCAGGCCTACATCGACGCTCGCACGCTCCGGAAGCACATGACCAAGTTCCACGCGGACTACGTGCCTTGCAAAATCATGCTGGAGAAAGACACCCTGCAGTTCCACAACCAGGGCACGCAGGTGGAGCACGCCGTGAGCATCCTCACCGCGGGCGTGCAGGAGCGGGACAGCAGCGGGCCTCCGGAGCTCGAGACCGTGGTGGTGACGGGGGAGACCATGGAAGTGCTGGAAGCCGTGGCCGCTACCGAGGAGTGTCCGTCGGTGTCCACGCTTTCGGACCAAAGCATCATGCAGGTGGTGAATTACGTGCTGGCGCAGCAGCAAGGGCAGAAGCTGTCCGAGGTGGCGGAAGCCATTCAGACCGTGGAAGTGGAGGTGGCACATATTTCGGAGGCAGAGTGAGGGCAGTCGTGGCGAAGAGAAAATCCCTGCGCGCCGAGCTGGCAGTTCGTTTACAATCCCCTGTGGCTGTCTCCTGGGTTTCTGTCGAGCTCTGGACTGTCGCTGACTCCTACACGGGGTCACCAGCGCGCCCTCGGGGAGAGTCTGCTTACTGTAAAGAAATGAAACCTGCTCGAGGGTGGTGGTTTATCATGGTATGCCTTTTATGATTCATGTTTATAAATGGCTGTCCTTCGTCTGAAGCTGTATCGTTTCCCTTGTATTTTGACATTATTATATATTTTGAGTTTTAAAAGCTGTACCAGTTGAATGCTTTTCTTCTGATTTATTCTCAGACTCCAGAGGTTCTGTGATTTCAGTTGCCCTGTTTATAAAATTCTAATATAAACCCTTCGGTAGGATACGTAGGTATATTACAGTTTTAATGCTTTACACCTGGTGACTCTTGACTATTTATTTTAAGCCCTTCGGAGTCAGGGATTCTTTATTCTGTTTTAAAGCACTTAATGAGTTACATGTTGTAATCAAGTTTGCACAATGTATTTATCTATATGGGAACTCAGAACAGATAGCTAATTTTTAAATGCCATTAAAATGCATGAAATGCCTGTTACGGCCTTACTGTACTGTCCCTTCAAGGCAGGTACTGGACCACAGAAAAGAGTACTGTTGCAAAACTTCGTTGGGAAATAAAAATCTTAATTTTTTTTTTTTTTTTTGCAGAAAAATGAACAAGTTAGGTTTGGTGTGTTTTCAGTTCATATCATGTTTAATTTTGTTGAAAAACTGCAGTTGAGAAATAGGATAGCAGCATAGACATCTACAGCAGTCCTGTGGGTACTGTGAAATTATCAAGTCATTTCAGAATTTTGAAAATTCTTAAATGTAGCCCTCATTATACTAAATGAATTATGATCCTGCCAAATTTTTGAAATATTTTGAAGTTACCTGAAAACTAAATTACATTAATTGTGTCTGAAGTTTAAATTCTCACCTATTCAAGCTATCCAATTTTCTGATTTTCAGAATAACTATGGGGAGATGCCACATTTCTCTCTAGGAAACTACCATTTAAGCTGTAATTGTTAAAATTAAGTTTTTAGGTATTAAAAGCGGTTATAAGATACAAAATTAAGATTTAAGCAGAGCATATGTAAGTCATTCCTGAAGCACAAGAAAAGAACGTGCCTTGATGTACATATATTAAGATGCTTATTCCTGTTTACTTTAAAAATGGCTTTAATAAAGGATAAAGAATAAATGCAATAGCTGTGCATGCATTATACTTGCATACTTATAATATTTGCATTTGCAAATTTCCTATTGTTTTCATAGCTATGTGGCTGACTTTCAATTTTAAGAAGTGAATCAATATACAGCCCATAACTTTAAATGGCTGCTTGTTTATTGTACCTTTCAGTTTGTGAAAAAATATTACAACCTAAAATTTGAAATTGTCTTTTGTTCCATTTTCACAGTTGTTAGATTTCAATGTATAAGAACGTTAATGAATGTCATAAAATATGTAAATAAATGATGTTGAATCTTGTTTAAAAGCATAACCTTTGCAGTTGAGCTTGTTAGTATTTTAATCCATTAATCAGTGTGTTTGTTTTGTTTTGTTTTGAGACAGACTCTTACTGTATAATTCAGGCTGGTCTGGAACATGTAGTCCAGGCTGGGCCCGAGCTTGCAGTGATCCTTTGGCACGTACTTCCCGTGTGCTGGGGTAGATAGTGTTACTTAATGTTAATGGTAAGGATCAGTGAGAGAATTGAACAGGCTAAAAAAGCAAAACACTGGGGAAAGACTTTTTTTTTTATCTTTTGGAAACGGTTTCACTGTGCAGTTCAGGTTGGCCTTGAACTCACTTTGTAGCCCAGGTTGCCCTTGAACTCTTGGCAGTCCTGCCTCAGCCTCCTGAATACTGGGATTACAAGTGTGTGCCGCCATACCCAGCAACTGTGGGCAGTTTAAATTTTTAGAATTACAGCCAGGCATGGTGGTGCATGCCTGTAATCCCAGCACTCCGGAGGCTGAGGCAGGAAGATGGTTGCGAGTTCAGGACCAGCCTAGGCTACAAAGTGAGCTCAAGGCCAGCCTGAACTACATAGAGAGACCCTGCCTCAAAAAGATAAAAATAACTAAGTAAATTAATAAATAATCAAAAGGCAGTAAGATTACAAACTTCACTACGGGAAAAACATAAGCTTTCCGTATTGCAAAAACAGCGAAATCAAAGTGAAAAGACAACTGATTATTTGGAAAAATACTCATAGATTTAATATGTGAAGGGCCAGGGGTACAGCTCAGCAGCTTAAGTGCTTGCCTGGCAAGCCTGGGGTCATGAGTTCAATTCCCAGTACCAAAAAAAAGATTTAATATTTGATGAATTCTTAAATTTTGAGAAAAGAAAAAATAGTAAAGTAGAATTATATGAATAGACCCTTCACAAAGAAATATATTAAAATCACCCTGAAATGTGTGAGAAGATACTCTGTCACTCAGAGGCAAAGTAGAACTATACCAAAGGGCTTGTTTTCACCTGTAAGATTAGCCAGGTACAGGGGCGCACGCGTGTGATCCCGCACTTGGGAAGCTGAGAGGAGGCTCACCATGAGTTCAAGGCCAGCCTAGACTACACGGGGACCTTGTCCCAACAGTGAAAATGGTTTTTGGATCCCCAGCTTGCCATGGGTCTTGCCATGCTAAAAAGCATGTTGTGAGGAGCTCCACGCACTGTGCACCCTGCTCTGCCTTATTTTTCTTTCCTTTTCCTTTCTCCGTCCCTTCCCTTCCTTTTTCTTTGTTCCTCCTTTGCTTGCTTTCTCCAGATCTCCATGGACTGCTGTGTTTTCCTAGCTGTTCTGCAAAGTGGCCATAAGAGTACAGAAGGGGCTGGGAGTGTAGCTCAGCTGTGCAGTTCAGCAGCATGGAGCCCTGGGCTCAATCCCCAAGACCAGGAAAGTGTGAAAACGATAGTACATAGTACGCTAGCTTTCATGTAAGTAAAAAGGATCATTAATGCAAAACGAGAGGAGAAACCAAGCCCAGCTTCTGGGACAGATGCAAAATCGATTTAAAAAAAAAAGCTGGGCATGGTGGTGCACGCTTGTAATCTGAGAATTGGGGAGGCTGAGGCAGGAGTTCCCGGCCAGCCTGGACTATGTAGTGAGACCCTGTCTAGTTAATACATACATACAGGGGCTGGGGATTTAGCTCAGCGGCAAAAGCGCCTGCCTGGCAAGCGCAAGGTCGTGAGTTCGGTTCCCGGTACCGGAGAAAAAC